TTTGCACATAGATGTCTTGCCGTTTACTAGATGGAACTAAAGTAAATTTATCTGTATAATTTCAAACACTTCTATAAATGCTAAAATTGTAGTTTAATTACCTGAATTTAAGTATAAATATTTCGTACCGGAAGAAATTTCGTACAAAAATGTAATGAAGAGAAATGCAAGTCCATAGAAATTCGATTATCCGTGGTTTCTTTAACCATCAGCCTCAAATACCCACTAACCATTGCATCATTGAGATGGAAAGGATGAATCTAAAGCAAAAGAAAGAGGAAAACAGCAGAAAATCGTAATTTGGAATAGAGTATACTGTGAAATAATATATGATTGCTTTGGCACCGCACTTACTAGAATAAAAGCCTGAGATTTTTTTTATTTGTTGTTGTTGTCTTATCCATTATTGCCAGAGTCTCAAGGAGATTGGACTTCTATTTCCTCCCCAGTTTTGAGGTAGCGCACACGGGGCGGGGAGGGGTCCAAGGATCTTCCACCTCTCTCTCCTACCACCAATCCACACGAGAGGACTTTCAGCTCGCTATATATTTAGAGTGCCCCCCATGCCGTGAAGACACTATACATTTATAAACCTCCATTCCTTCTCTGGGATTCAAACCCTGGCCCTTCGGTACTGTAATAGGCTCCTCTAACCTCTATACCATTTGGTCGGCTGGGATATTTTTAAAGACTAGATATTGATATTAGCAATATAGCTATCACATATACTTATAATACTTATATATTAACATTATCAATATAGCTTTATAGTGTAAAATAGAACAACTCGGAAAAAACGTTTTTCTTTAAAAATTCCAATGTTTCCAATTTGGTTTCATAAATATTCAACAACACTGAAATATTTTATACACTTTATGTACTGTAAGTTATAATTTTCTGAAATAACACAAAATTGTCTTGTTATATAAGAATGTGTGTTACATTTTTTACATGTACCTTTTGGAAATTTTAATAGGTAATATTACAGTTTTTTACTATTTTTGGTATTAAATGAAGTTCTGTATAAAGAGAATTATTTATTCTCGCATGCATTATTCCCAAACTATCGTTTTGCCACATTAATCTTTTGCATATCACTTCCTCAAACAACATTTTGTGCAGGAATCTTATGAAAAAGGAATTTCAAACGGAGCACGTATTAATTATCTGCACATTAATTTTTCTTTGGCCTTTACCTCTGATACAGTAACGCAGTAGCGCAGTAATAAGAGTCAGACTCTAATGTCGCCTTTCTGTGAGCTCTTCTTGCACCTTTTTATTTCTTTTAATAATGGCACAGATCGAATAGATAAGCTGCCTTGTAGCACAGACGCGAAAACTTTCTTTTAAATAGATTCTTTTCTCTTTTTTTTTTATTTAAAGAAAACCTCTATTAGAATGCTTAGTTCGGTTATTTGAATACGGCAAATCCGTTAAGAGAGGTTCTGCCTAAGGAAAGGAAGCTTTATTCAGGATCTTCTAAGGAAAACTGTTTTTCCCCTTTAAAAAAAAAAAAAAAAAAAAAAAAAAAAAGAAATGAAAGCGCACTAATTAAAAAATTATGTTCCAACTAGCCATAATAAGCATAAATAAGAAAAACTAAATTAATTTAGTTTAGAAGATGGAACATTTAAAAAACAAAAGAGCAACGGCTTAAATAAAAGTCTATATAATTCGACTGAAAGTTTCCACCTAAAAACAAATCACTTAATTCTTCTGCCCATTCTTTTCTTTTCTTATAACCAGTTAACTTTTGATATCCTTCTTTCTCTCCTCCTATTTCTTTCCATAAGCTTATAAGGTATTTCTTCCGCGTTCCTAGCATGCCTTCGTGGTGTGGTGGTCTGCAAGCTGGGCCGGTATTCCAGAGGTCTGTGGTTCGATTCCCGGTAAAGGCGTTTGCTAATTTATCATCTTGCCTGCTTCCAAAAAGTCCTAATGTCACTGCAAGCTTTGTTCATAGTTTTATTTAAATAATGTTCAAAAGAATAGGTATTATTTGTACCAGTAGCGAGTATGTGCATTTCTATTCATCTAGTGCAAGCTAGATAAGTATTCTTTAGCTAGCTTGCACTAGAAAATTAATTACCTGTTCACAGGCGACTGGCGTTCACAGTAAATATCTCATATTTTCCTTTTCGCATTTGAAATGCCTCTTTCTAATTACAAGGTCCTGCCTGAAGACACTTTGTAGCATTGTCATCGACACCATTGCAACTGCTATTCAAGTTCACGGATTTATGCACGAGGAAAAATTATTTTTTTTTTAACTTTAACCAGTTTATTAGTATCACTTCCAAATAAATGTTATTTTGTTGCAACTTGCAATAAGTTTGTGTCTGTTAGTTTTCAATTTGCATTCACGGGCAACATGAAGAAAAAATATGAAATAATAAACACGAACATGAGGTACTGCGGAAATTCACCGCAACCTGTAGCCGCAAAGACGGTTTAGTGGTTAGGGGAGCCGACTGTGGTACCGAAAGGCACGGGTTCGAATCTCGGAGAAGGTACGGATATATGTAAATGTATAGTGCCTTTGCGGCATGGGGGCACTCTAAATATATGGCGATCCAAAAGGAGACCCTCGGACTTGTCTGTCTGAGGTGCTGTCCATCACAATTGGAGCCTGAACTGAGCGAAGTCGTATTGTCAACTGTATGGTGTTCAAAGTTCTTGCCAACGACAGGAGCAATTTTGCTCTCCTTGCCACGATGAGTTTCGTGGACTTGTTTTCACGTTACTATCAGACAGATGAGATAAGTCACAACAGAATACACACCGCGACCTATGAAGCTTTCTAAAATATTAAAATATTTTTATGCGGAAAGTAACACAGACTGTGAAAAGTTTTAAGTCTCGAACATCGCATATTTAATTAAGACATAATTGAAACCAAGAAGCAAAATATCATGTGTTCCTTTTTATTAAAATGTTGTTATTGTTAGTTCAAAGGGGCTTTGTTTCTGAGGGACTGTTGTCTTCGTTTTGCGATTTTGCGTCGAATCACTTTAAATGTCCGTTTCACTTTTCAAATTGTTGCCACCGAAAATTATCGCCCTGTATTATATTTGAAAAAATAAATAAATAATGAAGAATTTGCATAAATGTGTGTATGTTTCTCGCACTGTGATAAAACAACGGTAACTAGAGCCATCCAGTCTTGAATGACGTAATCCTATTGCGCATATGGGCATCTGGAAACCCAAATTTGAAATCTGGAATTTGTTTTATTATCGATTTTACATTTTGTAAAACTTTAACGAATTTTTGATTAACTAGCTCAAGGATTTCAAAGCGAGCCATGGCAACGTTGTACAGAAAAGACATTTTTATCTCCAGCGCGTGAGCCTCTGTGTCGGAAATTCTAAAGATAGGCTCAATTTAAAACTATTTTTCGATATTGGTGTTGAACTGAATTTTATGATTTAAGTGCGAAGAACATGATATTTAAATAAATAAAGATAACACACAAAATGTTAACAAAAAAACGCCCCTTCAGACGTAATTTTAAATCTGAAACCTTTCAGATTTTATTTTTATTTTTAATGCAGTGTACGATGTTGAAAATAATAAATGTCATTCATTTACAATGTTTAACAATTTTCTTGCTTAATCACTTTCCCGAATTTATTGCTTTCTCTTCCATTGCATTGGGAAACAACAGATCGAAATTCTACTGTACATTCTGCAAAGTACTGTTTGTAATATACTCTTTGGTTTAATACTTATTTAGGAAAAATGCGAGTTTTTGTTACCCAAGGAAAAAAATTAGAAAAGTTCTGGAAAGAAGAAAAAGAACGACTTTTGTTTACGGAACCAAATCCTAAAATACTCTTTAATAGCTCTCAGCCGTAACACTTTAGCTGATGTTTATCCTTCTCAACTGTGCCACGTTATTCACCAAAAAGAAGAGGGGTACCCTCCCTAAAATAATTACGCATTCCAATGGTGCGCCATAAATCAGCGGGCGTAAAAACGAAAAATAAAAATGAGATAGAAGTATTACGCCACCGGAGCGCACGCCTGCGACCGACCAATGAACGGCGAGCGGTCTACTGACACCCACTGAAGCCAAGGGCTGTGGGTTAGGTGGTACAGCCAGCGGAAAGGGGCGAAGGCAGTCGACGTTAATCTTCGTCAACAGCCGAAACAGCGTGACGAAGCGTAAAAATTTATTAAATATTTAAAAGACCCTTTTCTACTTCCGGTCAGAGTGATTCAACCAGTGTCTTTTCTCCGATCGAAATGCCATTGGATGGATTAAAGTTTAATAACAGACGGATAATTTTGTATTTTTAGTGTGGTGTTGAAAAGTGAGAAGTTTATTACTTTTATATGACTGCTGAGTTCTGTGGCGAAGCGAAATAGTATTTTAACTTTAACTCATACATGGATATTGCGAAAACCATTATTTATTAATAATATTTAGATGCTAGATATATATTTATAATATATATTTCTGAGTGATTCGCGTCTAGGATGGACATGTTATTTATGGATATTGTTTAAACGTATGCTTTAACTTAATCTGCGTTTTCGATAGATCAGCCACTTTCGTAGGCTTTAAAATTCCTATAATTTTAAGAGTCTATTTTCATACTACTATTTGCATGAATTAGTTTACAAAAATTTCCGAGCATTATTTTTCAATCATCGGCTTAGCTTTTATCTGCTCTGTATATAATATATTTTTTATTACTTTATACTGCCAGAAAATGAATGCAACGATTTGTATTATTACAAGACGAATGATGCAGATAGCATATTTCAATTTCTGGTATAAAATGAATCCGTTTTTATTTTTTACTGTATTCGTTGGATTACAGATTTCAAATTTATCCAAGTTCCTAAGTATGAAAATATTCTAATACAGCCTAGTTAAATTCGCAGGAATGAGTATGTCATCAGTAGTGCCAAACATTATTCGAATCAAATCTCGGGTTAGAGATAACATATTCCTCATCAAAATATCACTAAAGCACAGAAAATCTTTTCAAATAATAAAATAATGATAGCATAACATGTTTGCTTGTAGAAAAAAATGAAGACAAAAAGTTATCTGGAACCTTTAGCTAAAATTTTAAAACATTAAGCATGCTTGGTTTTAAATTAAATTTCAGGTAAATTACTAAAGAATGCCTGGGTTGAACGGCAATGAGGATAAAGTTCCTCAACCTCCTAAAAATGCCATATCCCCAGCGCGCATTTTAAGTACAAGTTTACCACAGAATCGTCCTATTCCACCAGGACTACATCAAGATGGCAGTCAAGGAATTGGAGCAGATTCCACTGCACCGCGAATTCCTCAAGCAACATTGACTGTACCAGGAAGTAATGATCCACTGCCACCACCACTCCCTCGTTCGCCTTTGAGGACTATAATAGGCCCTCCGAATGGGCCCGCAGCTATCGGTCGTCCAGCAGCACAAAGGCTAATTAATCCTGGTTTCTCGACCATCACTGCAAATGGATCTCACGATGCTAATGGTAATGCTTCAGAACCTACTACTGTAGTCCACGTGCAAAATGGAACACCAGCGGCTATAAGACCTGCAGGACCAATCAGTTCCCAGCAAATTACTGCAAGAAATGTCCAGCCAGGTATTTTGGCTGGTCCACAATCCACGAGAGTTGGCATTCAAGCAATAAGTATTACTAATGGGCAAGATGCAGCTGCAAAAACGAACGGCGGGGCGACTAACGGCCCCAGTAATGGCCGGCGTCAAGTTCCAGGTAGTACACAAGATAAAGTATTTCAGAAAACTACAAATGCTTTAAAAAGAGAAGAAACTAAGAACAATAATGGGAATAACGCTGCAGCTAAAAATGGTAATGAAAAGAATGGTGATACCAAAAATGGGAAAGATAAAAATGAAAACGCAAAGACTGGTGTTTCGAATTCACCCACAAAGAGACTAACTAAAACTAATGGCACAGAGAAAAGCGGCGGAAATATATCTCCCACTCGTAAGGCGCCTCCAGTCAAGCCTCAGGAATCTCCTTCTCCTACTCGTAAAAAACCAGTTCCATCTAAACCTCAGGAATCTCCTTCCCCAACTCGTAAAAAACCATTTCTATCAAAACCTCAGGAATCGCCACCGCTTACCAGAAAAACAGAAAACAAAGTTTCAGATCAAAACGGTTCCCCAGATAAAACAAATACCTCTAAGACTCCTAGGAATTCACCTTCACCTCCTCGAAAGAAAACAGTTAAATCTCCCTTGTCATCTCCCAAGGCCACTCGTAGGACTTTAATAAATCAAACTTCACCAACAAAGCTTCTAAACAAACCTCCTACGGGTTTGAACTTAGCTCCAGGTAGACCTTTGCCAGCAACTACTGTTGTTACAAATCAACCAACTTCCACAGCTAAAACTGATTCCAAAGATGCTGCAAAAGACGCTTCAAAGGATGAGAAAGATGATAAGAAACCACCGGACGAAAAGACAGAGAAAGGAAAAGACAAAGGCAAGGCATCCGAAGCGAGTCAAATTTTTGATAGGTTACTTGTTTTGTGTAAACGAGGAGACTGGTTGGCTGTTGAGACTTTATTAAATCATCTTGATGGACTTCAAGTACCTCCGGATTTAGTTGATGTAAGTACATTTTACTACTTTCAGCTGCTTCTAAGTAGCTATCTTTTGTTAGAAATTTAATACATATTCAGAAGTAAATTTTCACACCATTATTAAAATTTTAATATTTATTCTGAAAATATAATATTTAAAAATTTTAATATTTAAAAGATAATTTAAGTGGTTCTAGAAGGAAAAACGGCAGCAAAATTTCCCCATTTATGTAAAATAGGAGAATAATTATATCGAAGAAGTATTTTGCCAAATAACTTCAAATATGCTGCAGAGTAAATTTTAAATACGACATTAAAAAATAATTTAAAGTTTTGTTAATTTTCGTGATAAAATATTTTTCTGACTTTCATTTAACTTGAAAATAGAAATGCAAGTAAAGGTGCTTTTATAATTCAAGCGCTATCTTTCGTATTTCAGTGTTTTATTATCTACATTTCATACATTTCCTTGGTTTTTGAAATTATGAAAGTTACGTTATGTCTTCAGAGAAATCAGAGATAGTTATACATATATTTTCAGAGAAATTTCGATCACAGAGAAATTTTAAGCAAGGCTTATTTTATATTCATAACCAGTTTATTAATAAAATGCGAAGAAATGGTTTCATGAAAATATAATGATGCATTAAATTTACAGTGCATCGAATAACGGATAATAGTAACTAAAATATTTAAAATATCCTTCATAAGTATTTCTCTTATTTTTCGGAAATTTTAAGTTTCTTATTTGTGGCAAATATTTGATATAAGCATTTAATTTAATTCATAAAATTGATGTTTCCTTATTTATCAAATTCTGATTTTAAAGTATGGCAGATAAGGAATTTTTCTTGAAGATTTATGAAAGAAATTTGAAGGCAAAAGTTTATTTATTATTATTAAAAGTTTATTTTATGATAATTACTGTTGCTTTAATTAAAGGAGTTTGAAATAGGAGGTTCTTATTGGATACATATTCGCAAGAAAACATTTTAAAATGCTTTACTGTTTTCGTTTCTGTAAGGTCTTTTAATGATTCACATCATTCATGGATAGTAAATTTATTCGCGAAAGTATTAAACTTAAAGATGTCTTTCGCATACGCTATTAAGTGAAAGTAATCACCCCTAGGTAAATAATTATCTTGCTAAGTAAATAAAACTAGTTAGGATTTTCCATATAGTATTTACTTTAATTTTAATCATAAATAATTTAGTGTGTGTTAAAAACTATGCAATAAATTTATAGAATTATGTAATGAATTTATCGTCAATTGTCAGGGCCTGTACTTATCTCCAAATCAGTGTTTTAAATTAATTTATTTTTCTTTCGAATTAAGAGAAATTCTAACTTATTTTAAAATTTCTTTCTGAGGACAAGTTAGTAATCCATAAACGAATGTATTTTTATGCTTCCTTTTGTAATAAATTCCCTATTTTAAATAATTTGTTACTTGATGTCTATAATGGGACTTAGTAAAATATAGATAATTTTAATATTAACTTTTACGAAAAGAACTTAATAAATAAAGATATATATACAAAATGATATTACGAATACATTAATAATTAATAACTTTAAAAAATCATATTTTAAATCTTAATAATAATAGTGCACTTATATAAGGATCTGAGCTTAGTATTTGAACTTGCAGTGAAATATATTTTCAGGAAAAAATTTATTGGTCATTTAGGAGATGAAGAATCAGTTTTTGTTTTTCTCACTGTTTTTTTGAAGTGTCTATATTATTATCACACCGTCTATAAGATACTTTTCCCGGATTTTTTGAGAGGCATTTTCGAAAATCCTATTCTTTACTATTTGCCTGCTTCTTCCCGGTTGCACATCACACTGCTAGCACAACAGAAAGTGGGAATCTTATTAAAAATAACCGATTTTCAAACATGATTTCACCCAACTTCTGGGGACCTATCTTTAGGCAATTTTCATTGCTTCAACTGGGAAAGAATTTCAGGAGAGGGTTTGATTACTTTTCAGGGCTTACTATGGAATTCGCCGAGTATAAAAGTAGTATAATTGTAGCATAAGGTTTTGACTACAACAAAAAAAAATAATAATAATGGCCATCCCTTTAAAAAATATTAAGCGTTGTTACTCTTAACACATGGCACAACTTCAATAACTGCAAACCAAATTTAAACATTCTTAGATCTCTTTTACATTTATATGATTGTTGCCCATCGATAACTTAATATTCTTGTTTTCCCTTTAATTTTTGTCGGACTCCCTTAAAGTTGTCCTTTCAACAAAAATTAACAGTACCTTTTTCTCACCTATAAGAAGAATGCATCATGTACTGTCGCCATATGATCTTTCGTCATTCTTTCAAGGTAGTGTCTCACGTTTGCCTTGCAATATGTAAATGAAAAATATATGTGTTCAGTAAAACGTAAGTACAGCGTTTGTCTTTTTCATATAAATTCATACATATGTGAAGTAATTTTCCCTTTACTAGTAAGGGAATTTTTCTTGGGATTAAGGACGAAATTTGGGTTGCTGGATGACCTGTTTTCTAATATTACTCATTGCCAGCTACGTGCAAAAATTCGAATCGATCCATGCTTTTCCAAATAAAATTTAAATCGATGTGTGAATCGTATGTGAGAGACTACACTGCATTTTGACATATTAGTAGCATATTGGCAGGTATTTTGACATACTAGTACATTGCATTTTGACATATTAGCAGGTATTGTTGCTTAAACTGAATCTTAAAAACATTAGTTGCTATTAAACATATTACTATTATTATGGTACCTCTTTTTAAAAATTTTTAGCCGCTTTGCCAAATTGACAGATTTAAAATTTTATCATGGTTCACTTACACTATTTGTTTTTACTATTTTGTCCTTGGAAACCTATGACAAGGCCAACTGAGTGTACGAAAGTTTTTATGGTACACATTTAATCAGAGCATCCAAATACAAATATAGGGATGTTCAAAAATAAAAATTCTAATGATCAACAAACATATATCTTTATAGAGTTAGAACTGAGATAATTTAAAATTGAAGCAGAAAGCAGGATAAAATACACTGTTAAAAATTTGATTTAAGATTTTAACAAATTATAGTACTGAAAAAGTTGCAATCAAAGGATGGTGAAACGTTAAATAATTATTTGGTGCTTTGAATAGAACCATTAACCATGAACTGGCAATACGTTGAACCATGAATGGGGAATGTTGAACCATAAATTGCGGCTATCTTGCGCCATAAATTGGAAATACAATGATTATCACACCGTTTATCGGGAATACTTTAAACTATTAATTATTAGTATTGTATTTACCATTAACTGTAAATATTTTGAGCTCGTAATTGCACAGTATAGGAAGTTATTTGAGACTTCAGGTATACAATTTTATATTAGCCGTTTTATATTGCTTCTTTTCCTGGTATTTGTTTATTCAGTTATTGCTATGGCTATGACTCCTTCTCCTGTATTTTTTTATTCATTATTCATCGGTAAGAAATAATTCGCAAATTGCGTATGCAAATAAGTAAACCTATAGCAATAACGACAGTTAGATGAAAAGCCAAAAGAAACAAACATTAAAGAGAAAATATTGATGAGGGAAATGTATTTCAAGTTTGATTATATGCTTGAAACTAATTTAATTAATAACAGGAATTATTTTTTCTACTAGAGCTAGATAGCTTTCAAGCTTACTAATAAACTTCAAAATTCAATATACAAATCAAACGAATCGCCTTGCGATTAGTCTTAATTAATATATTCGACTAAATTTGCTTCAGAGAAAGCATTAATTTTCATACTTTGATACATGATAATTATATACGAAAATAATAAATCGAAATGCTAGGAAATGTTATCAGAGATACAAATAATTTTAGTAACATGGTATTAAATTAGGTACAGTGCAGTACTATCGGAAAGTAGAAAGCTTTTTTTATTAATGTTTCCCAAATAAGAAACAAATAAACTCATAAAGTTATTATTCTAAGGAAGAGCAATCTCTATTAAAAAAATCACATCAGTGGTCGAGTGTTTAAGACTGCTGAATACTGGGAGTTTAACTGGAATTCAATGTTAGCCGAACGGGATAGCTACAAGGTTAGAATTCACCCATATGTAAAGTGAATACGAGACAATTTCCCTTAAAATGCTCTCCACGAAAGTATCTATCTCCTTAGGCAGATACCTCATGTGTGTTTTATCATATTTCAATAAGTATAACCTTATCTGTATATTAAAACAGTTTTGATGTTATGCGAAATTTTCAGGAAAATAAATGCCACGTGCATGAAATTTGCAAAAATTGAATTTTATTGCTAAAAAAGCTTTAGCTTGCATTCTATAGAAGAAATGCATCATGTGAACATCTTTCATGGTAACGTAGTTCCTGTTACAGGGCAAATGAAGTTAAAACACATCTCGACCATTCGACGCAATGTCGCATTTAGAACAAAGAGCGCTTGAACAAAGAAATTATGCTTTCTTTGATCAGGAATAGATCCCTATTGTGTTACAAAGTACTTCATAAGTTTTCACACTCTTTGATTTTTAATGTTAAGTCTTAACAAGATGCTTTTGCGGAGTCAAAGTTTTCAAATTTCAAGTTATCCAAATCGACCGGACGGGCATATGACAGGTATCGTAGGATATATTCTGGTCAGGCTTTCAAAAATGTCAGCAGCTCTAAAGCAAGTGTGTGAGCGCTGACTGATGCTACTCTGAAATACGTTGAATGCCTATAAGTCTTCTTCGTCAGGAAGATTAGCGAGGAACAGATTTGACTCCTTTATATTTCGCCACACAAAGAAGTGTACTTAAAAATTTCGAGTAATTAGCTCTAGCTGTAATAAACAAAGACAATGTGAAAAAACACATTGATTTTCGATATATGTTCCATTCATCCTCATCTCTTCTTTCCAGTACATTAGTAGAACTGCACTACACACATTTTCAACGAATGTTTTACTTCCTTGTATGAAGTAAAGTAAGTATTGTAATAAGGAAAAATTTCGGGTATCATATTTTAAC